CAGCGAATAGGCAGAGTGGGTAGGCTTTCCTCCAGTGTGGTTAACTGAAGAAATTTTCCAAAAGTAGTAGCATTCATTAAAAAAAAAAGGTTTTCTTTCTTAACTACCACAAAACAATCAAAACAGAAATTTGCAAAATTGTAAACAGCAAGCTTCACCCCAAAGAAGAGATATGTGAAGATATTTCTCCCCTACCCCCCACCCCCATTCCTTTGTCAAAGTGAAGAGTCCGGGGGTGTGGAACATTGTATACAATGTCAGATTTTTTCAACATATTGATTGATATTGCTGAGGTTTTGTTTTTATTTTTTTCCTTATTTAAAAAAACACTTCATTATAAGGGATGGCTATCTGGGAGGGAGAAGGATACAAAGAAAAATTTAGGTGGTGCAAAAATGAAATATATTTAACCAATAAAGTGTTCTTTATGAAAAATCAACCTCTATTTTATGTCTTATGGGCATATCCATGGTAAACTCTAGAATTTATTTGCTTTCATATTGAACAGAGGGCATGAGAAGATTTATTTAAATCCAAGGAGGGACTCAAGGACTGGAAAGGACTGGGAATCCCTGAACGGGGTGATCTTTAAAGTCTACTCCAACTCTAATATGACATATTGAAGATGGGGGAGGATCAGGTTGGTTTAAACCCCATCCTCCAAAAGTATGGTTGCTGTAAAAGCTACCACTCCACTCCCACCCCACCCACTTGCATGCCAAATATGAAGAAACAACTGAAATCAGCTTGATCTAGTGATCAAGAAGAGTTAAAATAGGAAGTTGCCAAGTGGCTGATTCCTCTGGTACAGAGGTGTCAAATATTCTGCCCCAAGGCATTGTGGCCTGGAACACTCTGCTGCCCAAACCAGATTAAAATTTAAGTGGGAAATATTTAACAAAATAAATAAAAGACCAATATAACATAGATAATGTTAATGTGTGGTTTTCCAAATCAATGTGAGGCCTGCAGGGATCCTAATGGGCAGTTTAGAGGCTCCCCAGTGTTCTGATGGGTAGATAGCCTCTCCATCAGTCTCCCCAGTATAATGGAGTCTCTGTCTCTACACATGAAACAACGTCCACCTCCTCCACCCAACAAGCCTTTCATGTCACGTGCTCCCAGTACAAAAAACTCCCAATTATAGCTTTGCTTGGCTCATGTGCCCCCTCTTACAGGAAGTCTTTCCTGGTCCTCCCTGTTGGTAGTGCTTTCTCCTTCAAATTACCTTTTATTTACCTATTTCTTTCCATGCTCTATCCCCCACTAAGCTCCTGGAGGTCAGGGACAGTTGTTGGGTTTTTTTTTTCACTTTCTTCTTTCTTTTCCCAGTACCTTGCACATAGCACCCAGGTCAGGACAGGATAATAGAGTCCAGAGAATGAAGACCAGCTGGCTGCTCCAGGTCATTCCTCAAAATGGAAGTTCCAGGAAGAACTTCAATGAGAAGAGGGACCGAAGGAGAGGATAGCTGAGGTACGGTAGTGAAATCCAAAGATGTGTATTAAAGAGTCACGTTTTTGGAAAAATTAAATTCACTAATGAGTGAATTGAGGTCCCTTATACCCGCCTCACTGGAGGAAAGCCTACCCACTCTGCCTATGCACTCATAAGCAGATGCCAAAAGGAAGAGGGGAAGGGAAATAAAAAAAGCTTTTCTTAGATGAGTCTCAATGATATCGTACTGGATAGAAGCCCAAGAGCCATCCCCTTCCAGAAAAAGCGAGCTCAATTTCACATATTTTTCTGTAGTCTTTGTCCAAGAAGTCCATAAGACTTGAGATGCATCACTCTTCTCTTTCCATCAATTCTGTAAGCCACACAGGCAGAACCTTGGTCCCAGTGCTCAGTAGTACAAAAGGAAGCCCATCAAGTGCTTTGCTCTAGGTTACAGAGTTGTTCTGTGGTTTAAGGGTATAGAGATATTATAAATGATGAGCTAGCAAAAAAATCGTCACAAATAAATAACCAAAAAACCTGAGAAGAATGGGACAGAGGGCAATTTCATCAAAACCCAGAGAGAATATTCAGGAGGAAAGGGTAGTCATCTGGGTCAAATGCTGCAGAATAGATAAAAAAAGATGAGGCTTGAGAAAAGGCCGTCAGAGGTGGCAGTCTGCCTCCATCTCTCTCTCCAGCTCATGCTCCTTCCTCCACGGGACTTTCTCTACTATGTCATAGATACCTCTTCACCTTGGAAGCTCACTCCACTTCCATTGGAAGTACCTCAGGTAACCCCTGAGGCCTCACCTTCAATCCACTGGTTCCTCCAGAACCTCCCATTCACAGAGAGAGCCCAGGCCAAAGACATCTTCATTGTCTCCAGGCTGCATTACTGACTCATTTCCATAGGACTTTCTCTACCTGTCACCCCCTAACCTTCTTCCACCCCTCCCCCTTTTCCAGCTGCCTTGTTTTGTTTTGTTTTTCTAGGCAAAGGGGTTAAGTGACTTGCCCAGGGTCACACAGCTAGTGTCACATGTCTGAGGTGGGATTTGAACTCAGGTCCTCCTGACTCCAGGGCTGGTGCTCTATCTACTGCGCCACCTAGCCGCCCCTCCAGTTGCCTTTTAAGTGTTTTATTCCCCCTTTACAATGTAGACTCCTTGACTGTGATTCTTTTTATTTCTATTTGTATTCCCAGCACAGTGTTTGGCACAAAGTAAGCCGTTAGTAAATGTTTGTTGACTGACTGATTGAGATCTAATCATTGGTAATTTGGAGACAATAGTTTTTAATCGAGTGATGAGATCAGAAGCCAGACTGCAAAAGATTGAGAAGTGAGAGGATAGCAAGAAGTGAGAGAAGAGGAAGAGGGGAGAGGACAGACAGAGAGAGAAAGACAGAGACAGAGAAAGAGACATCAAGGAGAAGGAAGAAGAGGAGGAGGAGGAAGAGGAGAGAATGGATGAGATTAGGATCAACACTCTTGAGTAAGGGTCTCTTCCCTCCACCCTTTAATTCCCTCCCTGAGGTTGTCTCTGGGGTGACAGCGCCCACATGGAATTTGACAGGATGAAGGCTGTGCAGAACTGGCCCCGGGCCCTAAGGGCTCTCCCTCCACTGAGCTCCAAAGGCAGTCCAGAAAGGCTGAGGAAGGCCACTGAGAAAAGGGCTCTTAACCTGTTTTTGTGTCATGGGCCCCTCTGGCACAGTATGCTAAAGCTTATGGCCCCTTCTCAGAAGAATGTTTTTAAAAGCATTTATTAAATGCATTTGTTAAAATAAAATGCATAGAAATACAAAGCAAGCCGATGATATTGAAACACAGCTATCAAAATATTTAAAAGGCAGATTCACTGACCCTAGGCTAAGAACTCTAGTACTGAGGGCACTAGAAGGGGATGGTCTTTTCCCCACAATGACATACCAAAGACTGATGAGCCATGACCAATGAACATCAATAAACACCCCTACCATCACACTCTTTCAAAACACAGAAGTGGATCATGGGGTTTAGAAATGTAAGAAGCCTTAGAGATCTAAGTCAACCCCTCAATTTTACAGATGAGCAAACCCAAATCAAGAAAGCATTTCTTCTAGAAATGAGGACGTGGTGGCTCAAAGTAGGAAAGTGACTTAATCAAAGTCACACAGCCAATATAAGGCAGAGTCAGGAGTTGAAAGCCAAACCTTACGATTCTAAATCCAGGGCTCTTTTCACCACACCACAATGCCTTCTCCAACCCCATGTTCTGTCTTTCTACACATCCTTCTAGATTAGAACATGTAGAAATATTTAGGGTTATATGATCATAGATTTAGTGCTGGATGGGACTTTACAGATCATACAATCCAATTCTCTTATTTTACAGATAAGAGAATTGAGCCTTAAAGAAATTAAATAGTCAATGGCAAAACCAGGATTTGAATTGGGTCTTTGGACTCCAAATTGACCAAACCCCTTTCCACCATGCCTCTTTACCCTGTGGTGAAAGGAAGAAAGAGCAAATGGTCTAAGAGATAAGTGCCTCTCCCAGGTATAAAAAACAAGTGCTCTGAACAATCCACCAATCAGTTGCTCAATAATTGAGAGTTGCCTGCCCATAGCCCTCAGCACCCTCACACATATTCTCCCAGTATGTCCTTCCTTTAGATGCTAAGTACAAATTGTGATACATGAATGAATGTTATAGACTATTACTGGATCATAAGGAACAATGAGTATGAGGAATTCAGAGAAGCATGGGAAGGCTGATTGAGATGGAAGTCAGCAGAATCAGGAACGATCTATACAACTACAATAATATATATGGAAAGAACAACAAAAAAGGTAGAACTTAATACTGCGTAATTATAAACAAGACTAGCCCTGAAGAACAGATGAGAAAAGGGGTTTCCCTTCCCTGTTGGCAGATGTGGGGGGTCTCTGGATGGGGAACACTGAACATACTGTCAGACTCAGTAAATGGGTGGGGTTAGCCTTGTCAGGATTTTTTCCCTTTTGGAAAAAAAAAATTATTTCTTACAAGGGATGGCTTGCCTAGGACAGGAGAGAAGAGGGACACATTCTGAAATCAAAATGATACATAAAAACAAAACATGGCAATTTAAAGAAAAGAGATTCCCCAAAGCACGAGGGGGTCACTCATTCTAGGTGACTAGATGCTATCTCCAGAGAAACAGAGAAGATGGAGCATAGACTCTTGCCCCGGTCTCCCTGAGCCTTCCCCTCCTTCATCAATAGCATCATCTCCCAAATATCTGCACATATCACCTGCTCCCTGCTGGCTACTGAGCTAGGTTCTGTTCCCCAGGCTTCTGTGTGATGGCCAGCACCTCTCTCCTCACAGATGTCTGGCATGGAAGAAAGGGGGTGGTCTGAGACAGCTTCCATTTCCTCCCTCTCCCCTCAAACTGTTCTTGCCCTTTCTTCTTGGAAATGCAGTCTCCTTCTCAGGGGCCCTGGGTTTCTCTGCAAAAATGTGTCACACGTCCTTGAACTCCAACAATGCCTTCCTTCCCCGCTTCCCTGACCACCCGGTGGACAACTCACTCACCTCACTTCCCAGAGTTGGGCATTTCCCTCTTACTTCTGTAATCTGATTTCCATCACACCTGGCCAGGATCTTCACTCCCTCCCACGTGAGGGCAGCTACCAAAGGGTTGCCACCTTTGACCCTCTTTCCTTTCCCTCCACGCCCCTGTTTGATGCCACTGCCGAGCCTCAAGTCCAAGGTGACAGTTTTGCACCCGCAGCTGAGGGGCCCCTTTCTGTCTGGGCAGGCACAGGTAACCACAGCCCGGAGAAACAAAGCAGAGTGCACGCTCTACCTGCACATACAGTGTTGCTCACCCTGAATAAACAAGGCTGCATAGCAACCACTTCTCTGCAGAAGTCTGAGAAATCCCTTTGTAAGGGAGAAAGGGAGGGAGAGAGAGAGAGAAAGAGTAGTTTTCCCTTTGGCCTCTTTTCCTTTGTTGCTCAGTCAGTGTAAGGGCACCCCCAGGAGGCCACCCTGCACAGAGGCCGGGGAGCAGGAAGGATCTGAGGTGGCTGGGCTTCCTGTCCTGCCCCCTGCCTCCTTGTTCCTCCTCCCATCCTACTGATGTGTGCAAGTCCAGAGCAGCATTCCTTTCCCACCCCAACCCCCCCCCCCCACAACAGCTCTAGCAGGTAAGAGAGAACTGGAGGGTAAGCCTTTCATTAATAGCAGGACACCATGTACTGGTCTAAATGTGACCCACTGGGGCATCCCTCACATCTGAGGCTCAGATCAGATCTTGGGGAACCTGGTTCCAATTCGGTCAGGTTTCATTCTTCCAGCTTCAAGAAGGTCACTCTCTGGTTTCTCAGATTCCCTACTATGTGAAATAGGGTTCAAGATGATCTCCCTTCAGTACTTTGAAATAAAATTTCATTTCTTTAAAAGCTTGCCTGGCACATGCTGCGACTAGCTATGGCCAAGCTGAGAAAGGACCTTGTCACCTTGGGTGGCCTAGAATATGGCAGGAATCCTGCAAAGGTTGTTGTTTTGGGGGGTTTTTTTGCCTAGTATCTCACCTATTTTTAAAATGTTGAAAGTAAGAAACTAATTTTAAGAGAAATGCAAATTTTAAAAACCCTAAAATTTTACCTTACACCCAACAAATTAGCAAAGATGACAACAGATGGGAATAGTCAGTGATGGAAGAGTTGCAGGGAGTCAAAGTAATCACATTGTTGATGGAGGTATGTATTGATCTAACCATTTGGGGAAACAATTTGGAATTACACTAAGAAACTGACTAAAATCCATTGTGCCTTTTGACTTCAAGATCCCATTGTGAGGCATATATACCAAAGAGGCCAAGGGAAAAAAAAAAAAGAAGAAGAACATATGTGAACCAAAACACTCATAGCAGCACTTTTTGTCATAGCAAAGAACTAGAAAGAAAGCATATGCCCCTTGATTGGAAAATGGCTAAACAAATTGTGGTACATGGATATAATATAAGGTTATCACATGTTAAAAAGCAAATATAATGACAGAAAAGGAAAATTATAAATGTTAGAGAGGATGTGGGAAAATTGGGACACTAATGCACTGTTGGTGGAGTTGTAAGCTGATCCAACCATTCTGGAGAGCAATTGGGAACTATGCCCAAAGGGCAATCAAATTGTGCATACCCTTTGATCCAGCAATACCACTACTAGGTCTGTATCTCAAAGAGATCATAAAAAAGGAGGGAAAACTTATATGTACAAAAATATTTATAGCAGCTCTTTTTGTGGTGGCAAAGAATTGGATATTGAAGGAATGCCCATCAATTGGGAAATGGCTGAACAAGTAGTGGTATATAAATGCAATGGAATACTATTGTATTATAAGAAATTACAAGCAAGCTGATTTCTTTCTGAAACCCCGAAACATTTACATGAACTGATACAAAGTGAAGTGAGCAGAACCAGGAGAACATCATATGAATAGCAACATTGTGTGATGATCAGCTATGATTTACTTAGCTCTTCTCAGCAATACAATGATCCAAGACAATTCCAAAGACCTCATGATGGAAAATGCTATCCACCTCCAGAGAAAAAACTGATGGAGTCTGAATGCAGATTGAAGCATACTATTTTCACCTTCTTTATTTTTTTGTAGTTTTTCCTTTTGTTCTGTTTCTTCTTATACAACATGACTAATATGGAAATATGTTTTACATGATTGCACATATATAACCTATATCAAATTGCTTACCGTCTTAGGGAGGAAGAAGGGAAGGGAAGGAGGGAGATAATTTGGAACTCAAAATTTTATTAAAAAGTGAATGTTTAAAATTGTCTTTATGTGTAATTTGAAAAAATTAATACTATTTAAAAGAGAAAATATATAAATAATTCAGAGACACATAGGAAGGCTTATCTGGACTAAAGCAGAACCAAGAAAGCAATATATAATAACTACAGCAATGAAACTGAACTTTGTGCTTATAAGGCCCTGTAGAAGATAAGAGAAAATGGATCTTCCTTGTTCTTTTGCAGAGGTGGGGCAGTATGGATATGAATTATTGCATACTCTGTCAGACTCAGCTGATATGTTGGTTGGGTTTGTTAGACTGTTTTTCTCTATATACTTTCAAAATTCTTTAATATGAGGGATGACATTCTGGGTATGGATGAGAAGGGATAATTCAGAAAGGAAGGTGATTTAAAAATAAAAGATATCAATTTTTTTATAGGTTCCCTCTCTGGTTTCTCATAGTCCCCCACCAAGTGAAAAAGGGCTCCAGACGATCCCCCTCCAGTACTTTCAAGTTAAATCTGCTTCTAAAAGCTTGCCTGGTACCCAGTGACTGGCTGTTGACAGAGGCCAAGTTTTGACTGGTCTACTTTTGTAACAGCTCTCATATTCATGCCCTCCTCTCTTTTCACAGAGCCATTGCCCTAGTTCAGCCCCTCGACTCTCACTGGCATATTGCAGTAGCCTCCTAATCGGCCTCCCTGCCTCAAGCATTTCTTCTCTCCAATCCATCCTTGGAACAGCTGCCAAAATGATTTTCCTAACCTAAAGCGTAAGTCTGACCAGGCCACAATCCTATTCAAAATCTCTAGTGGCTTCCTCTGCCTTTCACAGCCTGGCCCCAAAACATGTTTCTAGGTTTATCATACACTACTCTCCTACACACACTCTAAGGCCCAGCCAAATAGATTTCTTGCTGTTGCTCACATGTTCCTCATATATTCCTCCCACCCCATCTCTGTGTCTTTGCACTGATTGTGCCCCGTGCCTGGAAAACCCTCCTCCTCATTTCCACCTCTTACAGTACTTAGTATTCTTAAAAACTCAGCTCAGATGCTACCTTCTGCATGTGACCTTTCCTGATCTTCCCTTCTGCCCCTCCCCTTCAGCTGCTAGGGCCTTCCTTCACCAAAGTTACCTTGTACTTACCTTGTATAGACTTACAGATGTACATGTTGTCTCCCCTTCCCCCAAGCTTATTTTTGTCTCCCTACTTAGCACCTATCACAGTGCCTGGCACATAGCAGGCACTTAATAAATGCTGGTTGATTGACAGTAACCAAGCATCTGTTGCCCAAGGACCTAGAGGATTTAGGGTGGCCCGGACACTGAAAATGACAGGTGCCCTGCTATGGTTTTACTCTAGTGTCCCACTAATTTTTTAAAAAATTAAACATCAGCAAAGGTTGCTAGAGACTGTCTCTCCCCAAAATAAGTGTCATTCAGGTGGTTTTCCCTCTTTGATGCCATGCTCTCTTACCCTCCAACAAGCCCGAACTTCAGGGCTGACTCTCTCACCCTTCCAATGAGCTCAACAAAAGGAAGGGCCCTGAAGGTACATTGCAGGGAAGGAAAGCATGGTGGACCTCAGATCTATAGAGTTTGGCATGGACAGGCTGGGGATTAGTAGGGATCCAGCAATTTAGGACCAGGGTTATCAGGCAAGAGTAACTTAATCAAGGTACTAAACTCTTAGAATCTTAGAAATGAAAGGGGAGCCAAGATGGTGGTGGGAAAGCAGTGACTTGCTTGAGCTCTCCCCAAAACCCCTCCAAATACCCTTAAAAAATGGCTCTAAACAAATTCTAAAGCAGCAGAACCCACAACAAGACAGAGTAAAACAAATTTCCAGCCCAAGACAGCCTGGATGGTTGATCGGGAAGGCTTATCCCGCCGGGCTGGGAGAGGAGCACAGCGCGGTGTGGGCGGGCAGGCTGCAGCGAACCTGGAGCAGGCCTCAGAGGAACGAATCACAGGCAGCTGGGGCGGTTTCCAGACTCCTCAATCCACAAAAGCCAAACACAACTTAGAAGGTCAGTGGGAAAAGTCTGTTTTTGTGGTGAGAAAAGAGCTAGGTCAGAGCCAGTTCCAGAGCGCACAGCGCGGGTACAGGGGTGGTGACTGTTTCCTGAGCTTCTGGCCCACAGACTGAGGGGGAATCAAGTGGCTGATCAGAGCAGGACTGCAGGGATCTCTTTGCTGGTGCTGAGGCAGGAATCTCTTGCTTTGCCAGTGCTTGGATCTGGGTCACAGTTCTGGGTGGCGGTCCTGGGGTGAGGAGGAGCACTGGCGTGGTGGAGCTTGTAGTGGCTGGAGAGGAACCCCTCCTCACGGTTCCAAGAGAGAAAAGACTGCTTGTGGCCGGTCACTCAAAGACCAGAGCTCAGGCCAAGAAAAGAGTAAACACCTCGACCTTTATCATACCACCTTGGAAGAACTGAAAATTTACAGGTCCCTAGAAGTATCTCTGAAAACAGCTATACAAACCCCCTAAGCTTGGGACAGTACATTCTTCACATTGGAAGCAGACTTTTACCCTAACAAAGAGTTTAAAACTCAAGTAGTTGGCTGGGATCATGAGCAAACCTCGCAAAAAGAGTCAGACTATATTATCTTACTTTGGTGACAAAGATCAAAACATACAACCAGAAGAAGACAACAAAGTCAAAGCTTCCACATCCAAAGCCTCCAAGAAAAATATGAATCCGACCCAGGCCTTGGAAGAGCTCAAAAGGGATTTTGAGAAGCAAGTAAGAGAAGTAGAGGAAAAACTGGGAAGAGAAATGAAAGTGATACAAGAAAATCATGAAAAACAAGTCAACAGCTTGCTAAAGGAGACCAAAAAATACTGAAGAAAATAACACCTTAAAAAAAGCCTAACCCAAATGGCAAAAGAGGTCCAAAAAGCCAATGAGGAGAAGAATGCCCTAAAAAGCAAAATTGGCCAAATGGAAAAGGAAGTCCAAAAGCTTACTGAAGAAAATACTTCCTTAAAAATTAGAATAGAGCAATTGGAA